GAGGCCAGAGCTCTCACCCCATCAGCCTGCCTAATCAGTACAGAAAAAATAACAAAAAAAAGCTTTTTCTTCCTCAATCCTTTTGACACTGTGGCAGACATATGGAGGGGTGCTGACCACACAGCGGGAGGGAACACTCAGGTTTAACATCAGTCCTCACACCTGCCTGAAGGGAGGAACAGGGCAGGCATAGGCCATGTCCTAATGCACTCCTACTGCCATCTGATGTTCTCAAGACAGGAATATCAATGAGAGGTGCACTACCGGCAAATGGTAAGAACAATGACTAATCTATATATGCTTTTTGGCACAAAATAGCAATACCATATGATTTTTCCTCAACAAATATGATAAATGAAGGTATTACTGCTACAATGTAATTGAAAGGCAGTAGCATGCATGAGCAAATCTTGATTTCCCCCCCGATTCAACAGGTTTAATGTTCAAATGTCAAAATAGGCATATATGGCATTTAGTCAGCTAATCTATATGATAGAGAGATTACTTGCTTCGTGGCAAGCGAGCAGAGAAGAGCATGCGGAGGGGGTCGAGGGCGGGGTTTGGCAGACAAAGGGAGCTGCAAGGAGATGTAGGGATAGCGCTATAGCATTCACCCAGGCAGGAGGCCATGGAAGGGGAGGGGACAGTAAGCTTGGAAGGTGATGGAAAGCCACCTTCTACCCTCCAAACACAAATGATGCAAACTTGCAAATACTCCCACATAAACAGGAGCTTCACATAAAGCACTCACGAACTGGTGTCTGAGTCTGAGGAGCTGCTAGTGGCAACTCATCCAAGAAGATTTTAAATGTTGCATGCTGCAACTTCTCATCTTCTGCCATAGCTACACGTGTACTTTGTAATAGACTCTGGCCAGTCACCATCACAGCTATTTACATTTACACCCCTGAAAGGACCTAAATTCACAGTGGCATGGGCATGAACTGAGACACTTTTACAGGCATCCTGCGTCTTCTCCTATTTCATCCTTTACAGCCCTCTGGGTTCATCTTCTCTTTTTTATTAAAGTCTCATTCTGAGTCTACCATTATTAACCGCAGTTAAATTCACCATGACCATTTCAGAATTAAACAAGGTGGAATTATCCTCTAGCAGCCAAAGGCTCTGTCTGAAGAAGTAAATAAAAATAATTAACACTTATAATACCCATTGTACTTGCATTGATTGCATATTTAACTATTTATGCTTTTTACTTTCTTCATGTTTGCACTGACTTTGCCTTTGTATCTCAGCACACTTCATATTGTGTTTGCAAAGCTTTCCAAATGGTCCCTGAGGTCAATTGCAGTCTCTACAAATTAATGGGAATGGGGAATTTAAAAAAAAAAAGTTTAACAAAGCTTCAACTCTTTACAATTAATTCCAGACAAACAGACAAAAGCAAGTCATTTCAATTGATCCTAAAAGCTATTTTGTAACAGGGGGGCTTTTGTGGTGTGTTGCCTGGTGACGCGGATGTGCTGTGGGGGAGGGGCGGGAGCCGTGGCCAGGCCCACTGTACCAAGCTTGTCATTCAACCAAATGATGAAAAGCTTCCTGAACGTGAGCTAATGAGGAGGTCCTAGAGAAACTGAGGAAAGAGAGAGAGGACCGGACCATCAAAGAGATAACATTTAGGAGGGAAAAAAAGAGTTTCCCTGACCGGCCGCCGAATTAAAGGGGCAACGGGGAGTCAGTCCTAACAGCCCCCGACCGTGAGCTCACACAAATGGTTGTCAAGCAAATAAAAAGTGAAATTTATGGAGGGAGGTTGTGTGGAGAGTAAGATGGAAGCGTTATCCACTGGGAGGGCTATAAAGAGGCGGCAGTAATCACACCACCCTTTGCATCACAGTGGTACAAGTCAGAGCTCTGTTGTAAGAGGGACTATAACACAGCAAATTACCTCAAAAACACAAAAGAAAGCATCAACATTAACAAACACACAGAAAAAGAAAACAAACACTAGTTAGTGATCTTTGTTAGGAGAGCTTTTACTTGTTTTGGGCCATTTCTCTTCATAAAATAAATGAACACTCTTTATACTAAATTATTTATGTCTCTGGTGGGCACCTATAGTATGAAATAGACCAGTTATTATCCAAATCCCTTTAGAATATACTTCACCTCTAACATTAAACTCTTTTAAGACCTTATATTAAAGACCTAAAACATAAATGTCTGATAAATTGAGGCTTTAACAACAGGGGAACACTATACTAAACAAGAGCCTGCAGGTACCTGGAGGCAGAGCAGTGGAATGAAGCTGGGCGATGAATGATTATCATTATTCTGAATGTACAGTACAAAAATCCTCTATTGAGCTTTCCAAAGACGCCTGAACTGAATGACTGCAGGTAAAAAAGCCGTTATGCCTGCTTATGAACAGCCCCTAGGTGGGGAGTAAACTACCAAAACTAATGGTGCAATGAAAGCCTCGTTAGTATGAATTCTAAAATAATTAGAGCATTTTCATACACTGCAAAACCAACTGAAAACCAGTTAAAATCCACAGTTATATACTAACATTACGGTTTTGGGGCAATAACTTAAAATACAGAAGGCATTAGTGAGTAATGATTGGTAACATGGGGACAATTTACAGTCAGAAGTTCTTATCTCGCGAGTCCTTTTGAAGGGTCTCGGAGGATTATTTCTAGTGATGGCTTCTTACTGCCTTGATAGGAGTGGGACTCCATTAAGGAGGGACAGACTGTAATCATAGCAGAGCCTCTACTCATTCCGCACCTCGCCTTCAAAGACTGCTCCATGCAACACCAAAGTTCAGGGGTCAGAGGTCAGGATGTGAGGTTCAGTAATCCTTCAGTGCCTTCTCAATCAATACAAGACGAAAGGAAGCGCTAAAAAGATCTGCAGGGGGAGTAAAGCCCCGTCAAAACAGAATATTTCTACCCTGAATTCATTTGAACGTGATCCACCAAGTCCAAGGTGTGATCCAAGTCAGGTTCATTCACCAAGATGAAATCAGTATTCAATCCACAGCTTTTCAGAAGCTGATGAGTGATGGAAGACTACATTTCCACAATCCTTCATTTTTAATGCTCATATACAGTATGAATACTTCAGTTAAAAATGCAGGAGTTTTCTTGATATTTCAATCAAAGATCTGTGAAGCATAATTTGACATTACATTGCAACACCGTAACAAGGCTGATGCTAATTTAACAGATTAATGAGAGATAGTGTTGCATGGTCCACTGCATCACAACTCTTTCATTGATATAGATTGTCACTTTTATCAAGGCTTTAACTACACTATTCTCACTGGAGTATTCGTCTATCTTCACATTATTGGAGAGACACATTAATAAGCCAACTTAGAGTATACTTGCTAAATTATTTACAAACACAGAACCATTTCTGAGTGATCACCCACTTAAAATTGCATCTCAAAGCACATGTTGATTTATCTGGAAATCAAACTCTTTCTCACTCAAAATGGTTTATTGAACAATTGCTACCAGATCTTGATGCCATAAATAATACACTGCTGAATACAAATCATCAGATTATTTGTATGTTTATCTGCATGCTTTTCAGGTGATGAACATGCTATTTACAAATATGTCAAATGAATTGTTTGAAATAAAAATGAGGGGGTTTATACTGAAGATTATTCCTGATGCCAAACAAAGTAAATGTGATGAAAAAAGCCGCTACAATCTGACCTTTGAGAAGAAAAGCCTTCAACGGAGGCCTTAAAAGGTTGCATGTGTTTGACAGCGACAGCCACTGAGCTGAAGTGACTTTTCCCTTCGTCCAGCGAAAGCATCCCTGCTAACCCCCCTATCCTGCTGAGTGGAAAAGCTGTATTGGCCACAACAGCACAGCAGTGTGCTGTCTACACATGGCTCGGGAATCAACAGGCTTCTGTGAGCCTTTGTCCATCTCTGTTTTACAGTGTATATATAACAGAGCCTTTCAAAAAGTCTTAACTCAATGCAGAGTGCAACAGTACAGTATCTCTAGAAGAGCTGCGGCAACATCTCAGCGTGTCCTCAGAGGAATGTGCACATCAGAGACGCTTTTGATTTTAAGTAAGTTGAGAAATGCACTGTGTGTGTTCGAGAGAGAATAGAAGAAAGGAGCGCAGAGAGTCAGATCGACTGTGATATGATTAAAACATAGTAAATGAACCATGGCAACAGCGCTGACAATTTCATTTGAACTAGAGTGGCTTCATATAAGAGATTTGTGGTCAAACTGGGGAAGATTGATCTCGATGCCTCCACCAGTGAGAGGGCAGCTGTGTAGCTTCGAGCTTATTGCACTCCTACAAAGCAGCTTGGAGACTCTCAGCGTGAGGGCTTGTTAATGCTAAACTCACAAGCTTGAATTTCCCATCAGCACTGTAGATGAGCAATAGGCCCAGACAGAACATTGAGGTGGTATCTCAATTTGCTACTTTTAAGGTAATACGGTCAGATTTAAAGATAATAAAAGACAGAATGAAAATACCTAATTTGTTTAATCTGTTTAAAAAAATTAAGTTTCAAAACTGTACATTGAGGTTTAAAAGTAAAGTGACTTCTGTAAGCGTGACAGTGGAAACCCTAGGTGGTTTTAGTCATTTTTTAACAGAGCTGGGATAGCTTTTCCCCCGTTTTCATTCTTAATGCTAAGCTAACAGCGTAATATATATTTTTTGAACTGCTGCTACTCGTTTTTAGCCATGACTGTGTACTTATTCGTCTCTTTTCTTTTTATTCTATTACTAATGTGTGTTTTTCTTATCTATATTTAATAAGTTATCTTATTATTGAATGCCTTTTTTTACCTGCTATGCCACTTTTGCTGTAAAACTGTAAAAATAGCAATTCTGATTCTCATTAAGCAAACTGCATATTGAACAAACATTAATAACATTGGACAAGATTAATCTCTACTGATCTAATTCTTGGCAACAAAAAAACATATAATAATAATAATAATAAAACAAAATAACTGTGCACCACTATAAGAAAGAAGAGGAGACTTACTGGCTGCCTGAATACGGGCCTTGCGGCTCACCACCAGCCCAAAATAATTCTCGGCCACACACTCGTAGTCGCCCTCGTCCGACGACATATCAGATTTGGTCTTCTGGAAGTGAGCGATCAGTAGTGAGCCGTTGATGAATGTGGTGTGATGCTGATCCTGAGTTAAAAGCAGGCCGTAGTGCCTCCACTGTATTGTTATTGGGGGGATGCCGTCGACCTGGCAGTGCAGCATGAGGGGCTGCTCCTGTACCGCGATGATGTCCCTGGGCTCCAGTCTGAAGGACAGTTCTGCATCGCACATCACACCTGAAGAGACACACACACACACACACATTACTGTTTCAGGTCACCCTTGAAAAAGAGATCTTTTGATCTCAAGGGGCTTTCACCTGGTTAAATAAAGGCTACAAACAAACAAACAAACAAACAAACTGTATAGTTGCACCTGAAGGTTCAGTCCTAATCTTGTAAAGTATTTCAACAATACAATTTCAACTCAATGTATTTTTCAACTTATAGTTTTCCTAGGTTTGCCCAGTGGTCATGGTTAAACTCCATGGAAGTTCCAGAAAAAGCTAATAAGTTGACGATGCCTTAAGATTTAATGATTAACATGTCGACCATGAACCACAACACTGAAGATGCGTTTACCCATCCATTCATTCCTTTTCCATACCTACTAACCACTACCCAGGGTCATGAGGTACTGTAACTGGTAGTTGCTAAGTAACATTTCACATGAACTCTCACAATATAAACAAGAATGTGTCTCATGTCATATAACTAATGGCATCACAAAAGGCCTTACAGCTTGTGACGCTGACAATTGAGCGGCCCGACCAAGCAAGGAGGCAGAGAGAGAGAGTTCCAATATAACCCGGTGTGGGCATTTATTCATCACTGTGGGACATGACACACAGCCTCAATATGACTGTCTCCCCTGAACACAGTCACTAGCCACCAGGATCTCACACCCACACTAACAAGCAAACAGAACCTAAATACACACAGACTAATCAAACTAACAAGACACAGGTGAGGGGGGAGGAGACAACGCAGGGCACCAGGTGACCACAATCACCAGTAACAGACAAGACGGGAATTAATGCAACTTAACGTCATGACATATACACGCTCAACCATATTATTCGCACCCTGATTAATCTCAACCGCTGTCATTCTTACACCAGCATAAACACTTTCGGCGCTCTCGCTAACCCCCCCTATCTTGCAGGTGGAGCCGAGGACCCAACCAGCATCTGCCAGACGACATTCCAATTAATACGGTGTAATCATTTAATAAACACTACCTCAATAATTAGTATAAATTATGTAAAAATGTGCAAATATGCAATTCCAAACTGTACTGTGCAATCACGCTAATAAAGTGCAAACTGTTCACTAAAGTGCTGAGTGACATTTCTGAGCAAAAGGGAAGTTGTTTCATAAAGTGCAAACCCACACGTGCAATATTACAAGGCCCGAAGCCGTCAGTCCACAGTAACGAAGTTACCTTAGTTACACAGCTAATTAATTAGAAGCCTTGGCAAATATACCTCCAGGCTACAGTCACAAGGGAATTCATAGGATCGAATGCACCATATGAGCATGTGTATTACTGTACAATACCCACAATGACACGCACGCACGCACGCACACACACACACACACACACACACACACACACACACACACACACACACACACACACACACACACACACACACACACACACACACACACACACACACACACACACACACACACACACACACACACACACACACACACACACACACACACGTATGTCTTTATGCGTGCCAGCAAGGACTTTGTCACCGCTATACCTGTTCTTTTTATTTTTGTTATTTTTACTCAACACAATATGATATGTTAACAGTACTAAATCTATTTGTGGCTTTGCGTTCCACGTCATAATGACATGAAGAGATCAATTTTTTTAATTTTCGGTTTCTGAGGGCAAAGAGGGGGGAGTGGGAGAACAATAAATAAAGGATGTAAACAGCCTGACCTGACTCGGTACTATAGAAGAGGAGCTTAGCGGGGCTCTCTCGGTATCATGTTTCAGCTGCTGATGGACTAAGCACTACCAGTCTCTGCCCCAGGCCCTGGAATCTGGTGGGAGGGGGCCAGGGGAGGGCAGTGGAGGGGGGGCAAAGCACAAGGGTCAAAACAGAGAACCTCCGGCTTCATCCCTCAAATTCCAGCCGAGAAATACTTCCCCTTAGGTGCAAACATTCATTGACACACTTCTCCATGAAGATCCCATATGGAGTATAATGCAAAGAAATATTTCCTCTTCCTCTCTTTTACTCTGTATCCTTTTTTTTTATGTGACCCCACCTCCTTTTTTTTCACTCAACAAGCACGGAACGTAAATGGCCATGGGAACAACAAGGGGGTGGTGGTGGAGAAATATTTAACCCTTAGCTGGCAGGCAGTGATCCCCCTGCCTAGGCTGTAGCTCTCCAAAAAATGATGCTGGCCACAGTGCTCCATCTCCTTTGGTCGAACAAAGATCCTATGTTTCCACACGGGAAAGCAGCCAGCAAAGAAAAAAGATTCTGCAGCCACACATCCAGTCAGTCACACTTCATGTTTTGATCAAAATATGGATAGCTCTCAAATAAAGTAAGCATTATATACTGTGCCAAATTATGCTTCTGGACACATTTGAGGAGGAAAAAAACATGAACATCAGATCAACTGAAATATACTGGAGGCTTTTATCTTCCTAAGCTGTAAAATAGGGTTGTGCTAAACTTGAGAATTTCTTAGGGGACACTTATTTGAGGACTCATCATTTACTTGATTTCATGGACAGATCTGTCACGAAGAATTGTGCAAAAACACCACTTTACATCTTGTGATTACCAGAGATGTGCTCATAAGTTTCTTTAAATCATTCAGTATGAAAAAGGCATGACTGATCAAAGAAATAAATCATAGTTAGTAGACTAGCAGAGAGTAGCCCTAAGAAATACATTACTCAATGTTTTCACTCTCAGCAACTAACTGGATGATAACAGTCCAGTGTCGAGGTGTAGCAATGGCAGTGATTTGATTAAAAAGCTTTAATGATGTTGTTTATTCTTCCTTGTTACTTCAATTAATCAGTTTCTTCCATTAGCTAGAACAAGGTAAGAGTTGTTGTGCTCCGGCTTTCCTAATAAATAAAGCATGCTGCCTGAGTGACTGGCTAATACATTGCTGAGCTCCAGGTGGGTAGAAGGTTACAAACAACAATGTGACAAAGGTAAGTGAAAAACGTTTTGAATCATCTGACATATTGAGAGTCAGAATGCATAAGAGGACTCAAGAAACAGGGGATGAAGCGCTTTGTATGGTTTATGTTAAAGTCATCTGTGAATGCTGAGCATCCAGAGGGGGTGCAGAGAGGAGAGCACAGCTGTGGAATCTGGTGGCAAGAACACCGGCTTTCCAAAGGAACACATGTTCACGGACATGAATCCATACATACGTGGATTTTCATGGTTAGATAAGGGGAGGGACACACACACACACACATCCTAATGCAGAGGAAAGAGACACTAGCATGTCGGATTACCGGTTGAGACCAGAGACAAGTGTTGGCTAAGTGTGGCTCATGCACTGGCTTACTATTGACAGATAAGTGTGGCTGGCTGGCACAAAGGTTTACTGCTGCTGCAACAGTAAAGTTAGGGTCTCACACCAGCCACTGACAGAGAGATGTACTTAGCAGACAAACCACTGGTAGAGCTCAGTGAGCTCAACACACACCACAGGCTGCTTACTGTCAGCAATATCATATGATTCCCCTATACGTTTTGGAATTGATTTAGATTCAGTATTAGTTTTGTAATAATGCTACATATCACAACATTATCGTATAGTTATATATTAAGAATACCTAACTAAGCATCCATCTGTTGCAGCTCTCTCATATTTCTAAATATCCAGGGTAATGTGCTATGACTGACTCCATTATGTTAGGTGTATTTAAGATGGGGAATAATGTTTTGCAAACTAGACAATGATTGTGAGTTTATCCTCCATTAATTTCACTGAAATGTAGATGGTAAGCTGAGGCAGCATTTCCACTTTGAAGAAAATGATGTGCGTCACCTATATTCCACATGAGTGGTGAGTATTAAACAGGAATACACTTACAAACCTATAAGCATGACTTAAAAGGTGTCCTTTGGCATGCACAGCAAAAGTCATATATTTGCATTAGGATCAAGTATATCTGTATATTAATAAAACAATACAGGTCACAAGTATACAATACTACATATAGTATCTTGATTTCATTATGAAGCAGTGTCCGCCTAAAAAGCAATATTCATTCTACTCGCAGAGAAAATACAATGCATGAAGCATTAATACTTGTATTCCTTTGTATAGGCTTATACTTGATACATTATTTATTAATATCCTTTTTTTTAGCTTCATTAACACTCATAAGCTTGTAGTTCCAAGTAGTCAGCCATTCACTTGTTATAATAACAGCAGCTCAGTGACGATCACAGAGAAATGACAGTAATATAGGTTACACTGGTGCAGCAAAACAATTCTGAGAAATAGTCCATGTGTTGGCATGATAGAAGATGTAGGGCAGCTGTTGCAAAATCACCTCTCAGGGTACTGTACACTCTTTTTTCTCACAGAAGTATTCACCTGAACTCTCTTTCTAGAACAGTAATATACTACATTCTGGTAGCTTTGAATGAAATTGGTTTATACAGCAGACAGTAGATAGGGTAGGAACATAAACAGTTATGAAGTGAAATGAAAGCTCTCAGTATTTTCTCTTTCATGCTATAATTTAACATTGATACGGTCATATTGACTGAAGCTTGAAAGACAAAGCTAATGCAGTCACTCCATTCTTTCAAAGCAAACTCATGCCTTTTTGATAAACCATCATTTTCATATCATAAAATCTTTTGAATATCTACTGCCTCAGAGTTGTTCAGGCCATTAGATATAGTGCAGTTTTTCTTCTTATTGCTTCTTATCATCTCTTCTTAAAATCTCATAAAATGTGCCTTTATCTTAACTGGATCCAATCTCAGAGGCAGACTTAAAAAGAGCTTCATTTATTTAATGTGATTGCTAGATTGGAAATACATCCATCACAGAGTCTGTGTTTCTGAAGTTTTTGTTCCCAGACCCAGACTGAACATGTTATGAACCACTGTGTACTAGCCTTTGATTCCAGTCAGGGCCTTTGAGGGTCTCTTTGTGTGGTATGCTTTGCAAAAACTCAATGCTCTCTCCTGCCTTTGAATTACGGGGCATCACATAGAGAGAAAACTGTGTAAAAAAGAAAATTTGAAAAGAAGAAGAGGGACAGTCTTGACATTTAATCTGTACAAATATTCCTCCCAGCAGGCAATAACCAGTCTTTTAATCTATCCACAGAGCAATAACCACTGTCATTTCACTCTGCCACGGGGTTGGTGTGCAATCGGCTCTACAGTCAAAAACTCCATCTACTTTGCAAGTCCCAAAAAAGAAACTCCATAAACTTTTGAAAGTGTGCCACCTTCCAAATGTAGATGGAAGAGTTAAGTAGTAGGATTTTTAAAAAAAATCACTTTTAGGAGATGGAGGTAATTGTCATTGCATTTCAAAAGCCTATAAGCAAAATACAAAAGTACAACCCCTTATTATCTGGTTTAAATACGTTTAGTAGTATTTAAGCCCTCATCCCTCCCTAGGTGCTGACTTTCAAATATTGAGACCATGTGATTAACAATAACATTGGGTAAGGGGCTCTCCTTCTGCAGCTCTGCTATGGGACGCCTGATAGAAAGGGCAGTCATGAGGACAACTACAGTAGAAAACTAAGCATTTTTCTGCATAATTCACTGATATTTTACTGGAAAAATGTGACTTTCTCACTGCTTCAAGTTTCACTTGAACATTATTCTAATCATGTTCCACAAAAAATATACATGGAAACACAACGGAAACATGTTGACTACATTGCACGTGGCTATACTTATGTTATTGTTATGCTCATTATCGATGTAGATTTGAATATATTGCCCACAAGAAGTAGTCACATGGCGAAACAATACCATCAGCTTGCGAAAACGTGTGAAGTTCTGCAGAATGCACACGGAATTTAACTTTAAAAACATTATCAGCGTGTCACTCAGTAACCTGCAGGTACAAATTCCGCAGTGCACATGGCTCCAGGACCAGTCTCCACATTGGCATTTACAGCCAAAATGCTAATGGGTCGGAAAGGGGCCAAGTTCAGGGTTACTGGTCAGCAGCACACTACCGCTGCCTGCAGCATGGACCAGGCTCCGGAGAGAAGCTCACTAACAGTGGTTAACCTCCGCAAAGCCACTCTGCACCACTAAACTCTCTACCGGTATAATAAGATAATGCAACTTACCAACTAAAGCATTTAGAAGTATTCCCAAAAAGCACGGAACAAGGCGGCGGCGCCTTGTGGATGCCATTTAAGCACTTAAATAAAAAATATTCCAGCACTTGCAGAAGACAACGTGAGATGAATAGACGGGGGTAAAAAAAAAAAACACAGAGATATCCAGCTTCAAGCACTACATGTTCCGACCTACACTGCTATACTGTTTGGTGGCTCGCTGGGGTCGAACACACGCTTTCGCCATTTTAGCCATCTATCAGGAATCTGTCAGCATCCCGCTCTCTCTCTCTCTCTCTCTCCTCCTCACTCTGCTGTATCCCAAAGACTGGCTCTCTCTCTCTCTCTTTCTCTGTTTCTCTACCCATCTCTCTCACACACACACACACACACACACACACACACACACACACACACACACACACACACACACACACACACACACACACACACACACACACACACACACACACACACACACACACACACACACACACACACACACACACACGCTGAATCTGGTCTCCAAACAAAAGAACCGACTGCTGACTGTTTCGCTGTAAGCACGAGAAACCTGCAAAAACGGCATTATTTCTGCATGTCAATAAAACAACCACTTCTCTAAGCAAAGCAAGCCCACTACTTATAGTAAATACACGATACGAATAGGCTAGTAGAAGGCCAATACTCATACATGTATTGGGATATTCGTCATAACCATAATAAATAACTATGATGTAATATTAGGATAATGATGTTTCTACGATAATCCGGATGAATTAAGAGAATGGCACAAAACATATTTATTCTATCATTGGTTGAATACATATGAACAAAGTCGCCTAATTGATGCAACAAATAACAAAAAACACCATGCACCTTGTGTCCACATTGAACACGTGGTTACTAGTACTGTGTTTCTAAAACGCAGGCAGAATTCCGTGAGCACAACAAAAACAACATTATGAAATTCTGTGACGTCAATTTGTTTTATTTTTAAGGTTGACATGATAAATAAACAAGGAGGACCCCGAGCACTCAGTTACAACAAAGCAGCGGTTGTTTTAACTGTACTTCATCTCCCCCTAGTGGGAAGACGAATCTCAACAAAACACAAAAACGGTTTGGATATTGCAGTCCAGTAAATGAGGTAATGCACGGTAATAATAATCCAACGTCCTCTTTTCTAGTGCACCATTGTTTTATAATGCAAGAGAGAACACAAATTGACACTCCCACAAACTAAATAGGTAAACAACAGAAATAAAATCATTAATGAGCAGGCTGTGATTACGTTGCAAAAAAAGATTTTTAAAGATAAACTAATACGCTCTTGATTGATTTGATTAAATTATTTAGTGTTAAGAATACCAGAACATACTGGATGCAAATGTGATGTCTTTTAATTTTTTTAGCTGAATTGAAGAGTAACAAAATCATTATGAAATTATCTTAAAATGAAATTATTTAAAAGCAAGGGGTTAGGGGTTAGGTGTAAGTGCACGTGTCGTGAGAAATAAACGAAGTCTCTTCTTAACACTTAATTACAACAAAGCTCGGGTTGTTCACTTGTACTCGACCTCTCCCTAGTGGACCAAACATGTACTTCATCTCTTAAAAAGAAAACAACAAAAACATCTACAGTACGCTGTCACCTATGATGCAGTAGCCTTTCCAGTACAGCAGGCACGTGCACACATAAATGGGCTTGAGCCCCTGCCCTTTTTCTTCCTCCAGAGAAAGTGCCCTTCCCCCCCCCCCCCTTTTTTTATTTTTATAAATGAATATATATCTACTGCTGTTTGCGCACAGTTTCCCTTTCCAAAAATATATTGATTGAATGCAAAATTAAAATATCAGGTCGGGAGATTAGACTTTGAAGTTCCTATGCTCTCTCTACCCTCCCTCCTCACGTCTCCTGCACAGCGGTGCGGACAGTCATCGGCAGTCACTTCAGACAGACAGACATCGCAGCACCTCCCATTTTGCTGTGCCATGTTATGCCGGCTTTTCTTGGCTTATTTTGAAGGTGAGTGGTGATGAACAAATTACTATACTGCCACTGCCTCGAGTTTACAGCTAATTAGCTAAAAGACAATAACAAATATAGTTAACTATGGTATGGCTACTAGCTAATGGATAAATTATAGCTCAAGGTTTAGCTTTAAGACCATTTATCATGGGGATACAGGCTAATGTACTGTACTTAAGGGGAGACACTTAAAGCGAATACAGTAAAATGTGTATCTAATAACGTCATCATAATCGCCACATTGATATGCAAATTAGGCGTTAACTAGGCTTAATTAAAATGCGCTAATTTGCATGCAGTTACCAAGGCATTGCAGTTGCTGTCCGTCAAGCCGGCATGTAGGGCCGCCTTCATGGATCAGTGAAAACGCTCACATAAGCCGTTAGCCTGGGGGTGATATGCGGTGGTGCGGTGCAGCTTGACCCCCAAACCTTCGGCAACAGCGTTCCAACGCTCCGAGGTTAACTGAGAGCCACGGTCAGAGGCAGTGTTCCGCCAGACCAGGGCTGAGAGGGCGTCCACCCCGAGAGCGGAAGGGGGGGGGGGGGGCGGGTGTTTTGAATTTTGACTTGAGCCGTCCCTTATAGATACTGTCTTTTTACTTTTTCATTGCAGGTGAAAAGGATCAAACAAAAAAACATATCACCTCACAACTTCCCCAGATAGTTACTTATGTCACGCCAGTATTTCCGCTGAAATGTAATGTTTAAATTAGTGCTGTCAAAATTATCGCGTTAACGGCGGTAATTAATTTTTTGAATTAATTGCGTTAAAATATTTAACGCATTTAACGCATGTGCAGAATGGCCCGCCCCATACGTGCCACCAGTGGCAGCGCCAGGGTATGGCTGGGGTAGGCTACACCAGGCCCGGACTGGCCATCGGGAGGACCGGGAGGTTTCCCGATGGCCTGGCCTGTTAAGTGGCCTGCTGGCCTGAGGATTGTTTTGGTATGTGAACGCAACGCTGCGCAAATGTGGGTCTGACTCTGCCTCACAGAGGGTGACTGGCTGTCTACATGATGTGGCCTGCCGACATGGCCACTTTCATACAGATCAAGCTCGGGAGGGTGTGTATGTGTGGCGCGAGCAAGCGAGAGAGAAAGCGCGTGCACTGGTTACGTGTATTGTTGTTGTTAGCATCCGGTGCTAGCTAGCGGCGCTAACGGAATGAGCTGTCAACAAGGTGGAGGAGAGTCCTCTCCTGTCAGACTGAGAGACTGATAACTACAGCTCAGGTGAGGTAAAGGACTCTCTGAGTGTTTAGATAGTTAACTTAGTCTAAGTTCTCTGTGGGTCTCAAACGGTTTGGTCACCATTTATGTAAACACATATTTCCATTTGAAGGGGGAGTGATTAGTAAAATACGCATGAATAATACAAAAAAAAAAGTTAACTAGGTGAAAAAAGGCAAGATAAACTTTTAAAACTTGTTGAGAGCTAAAAACTAGTCTTTGCTGCTGACTCAAAGAGGAGCAGGGGGAGAGGAGGGAGACAGGAGAGGCTGGTTCAGGAGCACAGACACACTCACAACTATAAATGAACCAAAAACAAATAAATAAACAAGTGTCAATGTTTTTTCATATTGGATATGGTATGTTATTGGTTATGGCCATGTTCTTATGATTTTATGATTATTTAAATGTATACAGTTCTGTTTCATATGGGTGTAGTCTCTTTATTTCCCCCTCAAAGTGCACCAGATTGATGCATTTAAGTCCAACATTTAAAAAAAAAAAATCTTCCGCGGGGAGCATGCCCCCCGACCCCCCTAGAGGATTTGAGGTCCACCTCCACTTAAAATATGTTCACATGGATAGGTTCCTAAATAGATTTGCACTTTAAAAAAAAAATAGTAACCCATGTCCATATGTTTATTCTGGGGTAGTTTTAAAGTTTATGGCTATCACTACGGGCAGATATTGACAAATAAATCCAGGAAAATTACACAAAAGAAAACTGGTAGTGGCCTGGTTGGGTGTATAATTCCCGGCCTGACTTATTGTCCCAGTCCGGCTCTGGGCTACACCCATACCAAGAAATGGCTTAGCCCCACCATGAAAAATGATGTTAAAGTAAGCAAAATAAAGCCTGCCAACTCGCGCGGAGTAAATTGCACAGACAGCAGTTAGTAAGATTGATTTCAGTAGCCACGGGTTTGAACATTTTTGTCACGTAGTGATCGTCTTCTCAATAGAACATCTTTGATAACGGCGTGGTGTTGTTGCAGGAAGTCCCGACGGAGAATACTTTTGCTGTAGTACAGGGGTGCACATATCTGGTACGCAGGTTATGTGCGTAATCTGAAATGCGTACCGTCACTTGTGTCACAAAGCGCATTTGCGTACCGACGTACTTGTGAAGCTTTTCCAGAAGGCGGTTAGATTACCGGACGACAGAGTCGGTCTCCGTGTGCACAGACAGGGCTGCTGTTAACGTCGGTCTGTACAACGGAATTGTGCCAAAACTACGCCAACCGGCTGCCGAGGGAGACTCCCCCCCTTCACTGGAGAACTGCGCTAAAACAGCTGATCACAACGTTCACACTCTGTGGTCACGAAGTACTCCACGAGCCGCCGCCCCCCCCCCCCCCCCTCTGTCGACTTTCCTGAAGTACTCCCCCGTTGATAGAAATCAACACGTAATGAATTAAGACCCCACGGTTTGATGATTGATAGGTGTGTGGGTTGTCTTTCATTTTGACACACAGAAAATGTTATAATAAACATAGATACATACATACTGTATGTTAAATGGATATATCCGCCTTCTTTCCATTCCCACAACAATATACATAAATAAATGGCATATTTTGGAAAATAGTTCGAATGGTGATTAATCATGATTAATTCATTTTTAAGCTGTGATTAATCTGATTAAAAATGTTAATCGTTTGACAGCCCTAGTTTAAATATGCAGATTAGCTTTAAATCTATAGATTAATTCAGACATGGTAGTAAAACGAACACCATTTATATGTGTTTCTTGGAAGTTTTATTTCCACTAGAGTGAAAGAAAACATGGAAGCAAAATAGACAAAAATAACAAGTACATGAACAAACTATCTTTGTGCCCTTTTTCTCACTTGAGCACCTGCCCCCCAAAATGTATGTGCACGTCCCTGCAGTACAGTATGTATGATCACTGAGATGCTCAAGCGTTAATCTAAG